TACTGTATACCTAAAATGTACCAATAAACTCAATGAGAGAAAATAAAAAAATTAATTTAATTTAATTTAAAAAACAAAGACTTAAGGCAGGCCAGGCATGGTGGCACATGCCTGTTATCCCAGCACTCGTGAGTTTGAGGCCAGCCTGGGCTACATGCAAGACCTCGTCTCAAACAAAACAACAAAACAACAAAAGATGTAAGGAAGCTAAGCTGGTAGAACTCTTAACTTCAAGATAAGGCTAGACATACATATGTTGTAACAGAAACACGAAGAACTAGATAGTTACAAAGCTACTGCATATGTAAGTAGCTAGCTAAATATGTTTTGGAGTAGTGGGGACTGAACCCAGGGCCACACCTCAGCCCTGATTACTTGTAGCTTATGTAAACACTGATACTAAGTGAGACTATTAGCTAAGATTTTAGCACATGTAACATGACCAATGCTCAGCCTTCAGCTCTTAACAATGCACACTCCCTTTTTTTGCCTACCACTTTCTCAAACGTTATATTAACAAAACCTGCTTAACAATAAACACAGAAAAGCCAGGAGTGGCGGCATATACCTGTAATTCTAGCACTCGGGAAGGTGAGGCAGGAGGAGGCTGAGGCAAAGGGGTCACTGCGAGTCTGAGGCCAGCCAGGGCTACACAGTGAGCTCAACTCCAGCCTGAACTATACGAGATCCTGTCTCACAAAAAAAACAAAAAAACCCAAACCAATAAACACAAAAATGTCTACATGCTGTGGTTCAACCAGCTGACTCTCAGACTGACAGCAAGCAGGACTAGGGCTGTCCTTGGCAGCACTCTAGTCTATCTCTGAGTGTCACTCTCTGGAGAGGGACTTCAACTAGTGAAGGAGCAAAATGTGAGAGGACAGAGGAGCCCCTGGGCCAGGCTGCCTGCTTATCCTGCTCCTTTCCTTCACTGCCCTCTGCTGGATACTCTCCCAGCCCAGGATCAGAGTCTCTGGAACAGGGATCCTCCAAGCCAGATGTGAGTAAAGAAGAACCCACTAAAGTACCTTTCTGCTTTTCCTCTAACCACCTCCCCACCGCCTGCTCAAGAGGCAGATAACAACTAGGCTCAAGTCATTATTCACCACATATTAACATGAAAGATCATACTGCAAAATACTCGGCACATGCCAAACAAGAGGCCGAGGCTGAGATGCCACAGGCAAGGAAAAAAGAAACACAGAAGGTTCCAGTCTTGGAGAACGTCATCCCAAGGGTGGGGTCCCAAATAACTATAATACCTGGTAGACACATTCACCCTTCAGAAACACAGCGGGAACTCAAAGGAGAAAGCGGAGAAAATAACAAAAAACTCTACAGCAGATGGCTTCAGATACAGGTCTGTGAGGCAGAAGAAAGTATTCCAGGTGGAAGGAAAAAATATGCACAAAATGCAGGTGCAGCAAAGTACAAGGATGTGCCGAGTGAATGCTGAGGAGGAATGTGAGCCTGAGGAGAGGGATACCGGGCAGTGCTACAAGAGCAGGTAAATACCTTGCACGTAGCCACCATCTCTGTGTAGTCTAAAGAGCACCAGACCACAAGCCTCTTGTCATTGTCCAGCTACAGTACTAGGAATAAGTCACTGTCTGAAAACTACCACCGAGCACAGGAAACTTTCCAGTACTTTCTGGTCTGAAGAGTTCAAAGACCCCTCCTTCTCCCCAAATCCCAGCAATAAGCAGAGTGGGTTGTCTGATCAGAACAAGAAACGTGGGTCCAAAGCTTTTTGCCATCTCACCTGAAATCTTCCCCACCACTGAGGGCTTCATCCTTTATTGCCTTGAGTTTTTCAGATTTAACAGTCACCTTGGCCACTTTCAGTTTTACTGGACCATCTGTGGGCCCCCCAGGATCACTGAAGCCTCTCTTTCTCTCTCCTGGTGAAACTTTTGAGCGAAGGCTCTTCTTTGGCAGTTTCATTTTCTTGTCTTCAAAGACATCTAGGTGACACAGGGAACAAGAGGTGAGGGAATGGAAAGACGGAGGCAGTGTGGCTGACAGGCAGGTTCGTGAAGGGGCTCTGTGCCCTCTTTCCATCACCAGCTCACTATCCCATGTCTGCACAGCAACTGGCTCTCAGCCTCTCCCCACCTGTGCCCACTCACCTCATTCATGTTCAGAGTAATAAAAAAAAAATTCACTTTTTTTTTTTGCAATGGCGGTGGAGGACTTGTGTGCTAGGCAAGCACAGTCCTGCTGAACCAACCACTCTTCTTTACCAGCATTTTACTCTATTTTAAGACTACAGAACACCCGGTACAACTGAAATACAATCTAAATTCTATGTTTTTGTTTTTACTTTATTTTTTTGAGACAAGTTCTTGTTATGTAGTTCAGGCTGGTCTCAAACTTGTGGCAAATCCACCTGCCTCAGCTTTCTGTGTGTTGGGATTACAGGTGTACAACACCACACCTGGCCAAATTCTAAATCTTAATTCCAGTGAGGAAAATACCTGAACCCACTCATTAACACCTTCTTTGCTGCCTGCCAAGAGAAATGATTTGTTTGAGGGGTGATCCACTCTTGTAGGTGATGTATACGTACATATTTCTACAGCCTCAACCCGTTTCTGGCAAATATCTAAAATTCTGCTCAAAACACATACTGCTTATGAAGCGTTTCTAATCTAATGTAATACACTTGTATACCAACCACCTTGATTGCACCAAACTTAGGGTTGGAATAAGACAGTACAGGTTGCGTTCCTTATCTAAAATGCTCGGGACAAGAGCATTCAGATGTCAAATTTTTCAGATTTTGAAATGTTTACACAGACAGACTTTCTTGGTTGAGCATTCAATCTGAAATCCCAAACTTTTGCCATGTTTCAGGTTTTGGATCATTTTAGATTTCAGATTAGGGATGTTCAACCTCTAGGAATTCAAAGCTACCTTTATTTTCTTAGAAGAACTCCTAGTGTTTCTGTTAAAGAAAAACATTAAAAATTCATAAGATGTTTTTAATTATCTAAATACTGTTAATTTATGTCTAAATGCTCATATTAACATATTTAATAATTTATAAATAATATGGCATGGAAGTATTTTCCTGTTTTGCAAATGTATTCACACAAGTGATAAATCAATGTTTCTTTGCTTTTACAACAGGAGCCCAGAAAATAGCAGGGGTAGCAATCTTATTCACAGACAAAGTAAATTTCAAACCTAAGCTGATTAAAAGAGACAAAGAAGGCCACTACACCCTTGTGAAAGGAACAATTTAAGAGGAAGAGATAACAAATAATTCATTTTCAATCTATTGAGTATGTTAGAAAGCACATATGCTCCTTTCTCTTTTTTTTTCTTTTTTCTTTTTCTTTCCCTGGTGCTGGGGATTAAACTCAGCACATTGCTCTGGCTAGGCAGGTGCAGCCCTACTGAGCTAAATCTCAGGCTTTACATTTTATATTTTTAAAATTTATCAACACATTAATCTTTGTCTTTATATGTTGGTCTACCAAATTGATGAATTATTTTGGTTCTCATTTTCTTTGCTTTTTTTATTTGAGAATTTATGAAATCTGTATATATGAGTATGTATCTATAAGTAGTATGAAAAGTATTAAGGTCCATCCGTCATTCTCCTCTCTTTTCTGCATTCTGCAAACTTCCTTTTCTGTCACTACAGCTTGTTTGGTTGGAAATTTGTTAAGACAAATTTTGTTATGTTATCAATATATCTTTGTACATATTTTCTACCAATAATGAATATTAATTTTTAAGTAAATTTTATCCTAACTATACTTAAATAAATGGATAATAAATAATTAATGTCATTCAGTATCTGGTACATATTACAAATTCTCCAACTACCTCAAAGATGATATTTGTTTTTCTCAAATCACACAAATCACAAACATTTCACACATCACTGCACTGTTTTATTATACCAAAGTATATATATATTGTATTGTAGAAAATATGCATTGTGTATATGTGTGGGGGGTATGTTTTTACACATATGTGTGCACTATTTAATGAGAAACATGGTCATGAATGTGGTACGATTTTGCACATTTGGCATATCAATAGTTTCTCTGGCAACCTTATGATTTCTCAAAATTAGATGCTTGATTTAATTCATAGTCATTTGTTTGGGAAGAATATTACATATGTATTGGTGTTAAATTCTATCATTATGCTTATAAAAATATAATAAAAATAAGTATGGGATATAATAAAATAGAAACAGAAAAATCTGATCTTAAAAATGTGAACTCTTTTAGTTGCTTTTGGATTTCTAATTTCTGTGGGAAGTTTTGTTAGAAAATGTGATACAATCAACAAGCATATATTTATCAAATTAATAAAACCAAGGAGTTTATAAATCATAAAGTTTTGAGGGCAGTTTCTCAACTATAATATGTAACTTTGTTAGAGAATACTGCAGGGGGATTAGAGGAAGCCAGGAAAGAGGCAACTCCTTCGCCTGGCAGATGCCGAGGGGTGGACAGGGGCTGTGACAGCGCAGGTGACAACTCTGGTCCAGTCCTGAGGCTGGATTTGCTGACGAGCACGAAGTGTACCCTTCAGAAAGGGGCGTTTGCTTTCACTGGTGGGTGAGATGGTGGTGAGATGGGGAATGCAGGACGCGTCCGCAGGAGATCAATAACTGGCAGGCCCAGGCGGTGTTGGGAAGCGCGCCAGCCACCGCCGAGGACACGTGTGGATGAGGCCGGGCTGTGGGAGGGACTAGGCGAGGGACCACGACACCGCCTCCCGCTCCGCCCCACCGGACCCGTGGAGACTAGGCGAAGCTCACGCGTGATCCACGCCATGGAACGCGCGCCGCGATCTGGGCCTCCCGTTCCTCTACGTCACCTCCTCCGTCCGGGGCCCCAATCTCCACTCCATACCCCCACCCCGTCCAGGCTCCCGCCCCTTCTCTGGCCGCTCCTTGCTCTCACCTGCCTCCTTCTCCTTTTTACGCCGGGCCACGCTCGCGTCCCCGGGTTTTCGGCCGCCAGCCGCGCGCTTCCGAGCCATGCTGCCGGTGATGTTGCAGCCGGGAGAAATCCGTTCGCGCCGCCTCGGGGATACAGCGGTCAAGAGACCTAGTACGTCTGTCTGGGCGGGGCGAGGCCGGGCCTCTCCCCTTTCCTCAGAGGAAGCTTCGCCTCCACCCAAAGGGGCTATATAAATAAACTACGGAAAGCATAAGGGACAAAACAGCCAAACAACTCTACTTCCGGTACCTTGGTCCTCTCGTTTCAGAGACCGGAGACGTTTGCGAGTTCTCGCGAGAAGCGGGAAAGGGCGCAAGGTTTGAAACATGGCGGACGACGTAGACCAGGTGAGTGAGTGCTGAGCTCTCTCCGCAGCAGTCTCTCTATTTCCCGCCACTCCCTGCTCTCGCCCTGCTCGGATCCGCGTGGTAGCTCTGCCTCCTCAGGACTTCACGGAGGTACCCTGTTGCGCCACCCCAGCCCATCCAGCCGTGTCCCGAAAGCCACGGGCCTTGCTTTGCGGCATACACCGCTTCTGAGTCTCGCGCTCCCTCGGGTCGGAGCACGTAGATAGTTCGGCAGGCTGATGGTGGTGCCCATTAGAAACTAATTCAGCGAGTCCCGCTGAGCTTGAGGGCGGGGATTTGTGGCTTCTGTGTCGTAACCCACTGGTTGGTCCTTAACAAACACACCTGTTGTACTGAAGTGGGGGAGGCACCCACTGAAGTCAGGACTTTTTTCCTCTCATCTGACCTTTAGAAGTTGTAGAGCCTGTTACCTTCTGTTACCCTCTGCCATTGGCCTCATGTCCTCGATGAAGAAGCTGTTGAATAATCTTACCAACCCTATGGCCGCGACCATCGCTAGCATGCGGGTGACCTGAAGTCTTCGTAGGCCTGGCCTCTGAAACCTGTCAACAGTTCTTTAATCGTAATAATGAGAACCATTTATAAGTATTTTCTTTTTACCAAGTGTTAGTCATTCATTACTCTCAAGAACCCTGAAGGAAGACTGTGGCTTCCATATTTGGAATCTAAGAATTAGCGATGTCAAGATTTTTAATCCCAATTCCAAAGTGCCGATCAAGCCAGGAATTGAACCAGTCTGCCAGATTCTAAAGCCAGTATTCTGTAGTACCCAATAAATGTATTCATCTCAGTGGCCAGTCAGCGACCTGAACTCAACCTGTCCTGTGCTGAATTCAGTTTTCCCTTACATCTTCACCTCTGCTTATGCTTAGCATTCTGACTCATGTATGATAGGCATTACACGAGTGATTCTCAAATGATTAAATGATATTTTGGATAGGCTAATGTCCCTGAGCTTAACTTCATATACCTTGAATTTAGGTCCCACAGTTTGGATTTTGAAGAAAGGAAGTACAGTGGTGATTATTTTGCTGTGCAACTCCTTCCTGTGCATATATATATATATTGGCTGTCATTTATATAGAGTGCACTATACAAGAGGCATTATTCTGAGCCTTCATAAATAGCACCTAAGCCTCACAGCAGCATTATTGAGTAGACATTATTGTTTTCCCCATTTTTCAAAGTAGGAGACTGAGGTATAGAGAGGCTAAATTACATGCCAGTGGTCTCACAACCTAACAATTGTTCAAACTCTGCACCACCTTTGATACCACATTACCAAGCCTGTTTATTTTATCAGCAACAAACCACCAACACTGTAGAGGAGCCGTTGGATCTCATCAGACTCAGCCTGGATGAGCGAATCTATGTGAAAATGAGGAATGACCGAGAGCTTCGGGGCAGATTACATGTAAGGAAATATATCAAATTACCTTGAAATTTCCTTGTCATTCCTTCCTACCGTCATCACTCCTTTGAAATGTAAAAACTACCTAGTGGAAGAGAGTATTTTGCTTTTGACTATCTATCTTTAATTTCTTTTTCATTAAGTTTATTGGTATATTTTAGGTATACAATACATTTACATTCATCACTGAGAATTTGTACTTTCACATGATGTATCTTGGTTCTCATTTTTCCCCATTCCCCTGCCCTCCCTTCAACCCCTCCACCCCTCCCTCTTTACAAAGAGTTTATTTCCATTTTTTCCCTTTTCTCGTATTTTTTTCCTTTTCCTCCTTTCCTTCCCCCTACCCCTTCCATATCCCCTATCCCTGTAGACCTTTTCTTCCTCTTTCACATTATCAGTTATACATTTTGATCCTTATTTACACTTTTAGTTTCTCACACCAGAGAAACTATTCTGCATTTACACGTGTCCTGTTTATTTCACTTAAGAGCCTCAGTGTGGGGCCAGGGATTTAGCTCAGTGGTTCCAGCATCTGCCTCGAAAGCTCAAAGACCCAAGTTCGATCCCCGGTACCACAAAAGCAAAAAAAAAAAAACAACTTTAGAGCCTCAGTGTGCATCCATTTAACTATAAATGTCTCTAGTCTCTTGTTCTTTATGGCTGAGTAGTATTCCATTTTATTTTTAAAAACCACACCTTCTTTATACAATCTCCAGTTGATGGGCACTTGGGCTGTTTTCAATCTTTAGCTATTACAAACTGCTGCTGTAAACATGGGTGTGCATATATCGTTGTGTTATGATTCTTTTAATTCTTTTGAGAAGATAACCAGCAGAATAGCTGGGTCAAATGGGACCTCTAATCCTAGTTTTTTGAGGTATCTCCATACTGATTTTCAGTGGTTGCAACAGTCTGCACTCCCACCAACAATGGAGAAAGGTTCCTTTCTCTCCACAACCAAACCAGCATATATTATTGGTTGATTTCTTGGTAGCAGCCATTCTTTCTAGGGTGAGGTGGAATTTCAGTGGCGTTTTCATCTGCATCTCTCGAATGACCAGTAATGTTGAACATTATTTCATATGTTTATTTGTTGCTTTTACTTCTTTGTCTGAGAAGTGTCTGTTCATTTCAGATGCCCATTTTGGAGCTGGGTCTTTGTATTTGGGGGGGGGCATGATTTTTTTTTTTTTTTTTTTTTTTTTTTTTTTTTTTTTTTTTTTTTACCTTTGTCTGAGGAGCAGCTGATAAAATTTTTTTCCCACATTGTAGGTTGTCTCTTAGCTTTGTTAGTGGTTTCTTTTGCAATGCAGAAGCTTTTTAATAAGATGAGATCCCAGTTCTTGATTCTTTGTGCTAGTCACCGTGCTACTGAGGATTTGTTCATAAAGTCTTTTCCTATGCCAGTGTGTTCAAGAGTTCCACCTATCTTCCAGCAAGTTTAGTGTTTCTGTTTTAATATTTAGATCTTTAATCCACTTGGATTTTAGTTTAGTGCATTGGTGAAAGATAGGGGTCTAGTTTTAATCTTTGACAAGTTGAAATCCAGTTTTTCCAACACTATCCAAGAGGCTATCTTTCCTCCAGTGAGGATGGTTGGCTCCTTTGTCAAAGATGAGGTAGCTGAGTATGTCTGGAGTTGTGTCTGTCTTCTAACCTATTCCACTGATCCTCAGGTCTGTTGGAAGAGAGTATTTTGAATTACAGAGGAGAGAGGTGAGAAGTCACTCATATTTCTTTAAGCCAAATATACTTATACTTTATTCATACTTTTAATGGTTTTTCTCCCAACAGAAATATGGTGATTACATAGAACATTTTTGTTTCCTTACTTTCTCCTTTTTGTTTGTAAGTAAATTTACTTGTCCTCCATTCTTAAATGTTTTTTGCTTACTGTTATATGCATAAACATGTTTTGTTGTTAAAAAAAAAAAGCAGCGCAGAAATATATTGAGCAAAAGATAAAATCCCATTTCCTATATTGATAACCACTGTTAAAAATTACATATGTAGTCATTCAGGTATGTTCTGTATATTTACACATATGTACGCATCTGTGCTGTGTGCATATATTTGCACTGTATATACACACACCACCTTTTCAAAATGGGATCTTGCCGTGAATATTTTTTAGCACATTTTTTTGCTTAATCTTTCATAGAAATCATTGATTATGATGCATGTGAGTATCCTTTATTTGGAGAGGGCACTGGACAGCAGCTAGCAGCCTAGTGATGACCTAGTATTCTGTATTTGATAGTGATATTTAGATTGTTTTCCATTTTTGACTACTATAAATAAGTCCTATAAGTCCTACTGCAGCAGGACTTTTTATATGCATTTCTTTTTTCATAGCTTCAATTATTTCTGTAGAATTGGTCTCTTGAAATGGTCCCATTTATTCATAAGTGTATACTGAAGGTTTTCCCTCTTGTTGATGACTTGCTACTTACCTGTCAGTCTGCCCTAAACTGATTAGAATAGCATTATTCTATGCCAAGTGCTGCTATACTGAGTGTTTTGAATGTGCTGTCACTTGATCTTTGGAATAACTCTGTGAAGATAGCTTCTGCTCATTATTTCCGCTTTGCATTTGAGGGAGTTCAAGTTCAGAAATGTGAAGTTACTTGCTCAGCATGACATAACCAGTATGGAAGAGCTAGAGTACAAGCCCAGGCAGTGTGATTTAAGCTCCACTCTGAAGCACTGTGGTTCCACTTTCCCTGAAACCAAAAGATAAAGGACCTCTGGGGGTGGGAAGGAAAATAGGGGCCAGGGGAGACAGTAGTGCTAATCTACAGTGAGCCTGAAAGGAGGAGGAACTCCAGGAAGTGTAATGGTGTCAATATTGGAGGGGAAAATGGACCTGAGCCCAGTTGTGTAAGTCTGTGGCCCTTGGAGAGACACCCCAGAATGGCCGTGTGACACTTAACTCCTAGGGCTTCTTCCATTACTTGTGTAGATCCATGGCTTCTATACTGAACACCCCAACTTTCCATTGTTTTTTGCTCTTCAGCTATGCATTTTGCTTATTCATGTGCCCTGCCTAGCAGTTCTCCACTTGGCTGGTAGATTGTTTTTTTCTTGATATGAGCAGCACACCATTTAATGCTTTGTTAAAAGTAAATGTAACAAGGCTCTAGGACAATGATGATGAACCTTTTAGAGCTTTCAATGGTAAATAGCTGTTGCACACACACCATAGGTTTGCCACCACTGCCCTAGAAATTTACTTACTAATAAATGCGTGAACTTTGGAGGTAACATTGAAAATCTTTGTTGCAGCATAAATTGACTGAACCCACAACCAGGCACATTTAGGTTCCGGATAAATTATAAATCACAAGTGTTGACCTATGCACTTCACCTTTGTTGTCTACACCAGGACAGGGAGGGTCAGGCAACAGTATCCTGTGCCATTAGAAGACTGCAATTCCATTGCCTTAGTAGTGAAAGGATTTTTATCTCATTTGCTGTTTCTTGAAGAAATGTCCTGATTTCTATTTTTCTAATTTTAAGTGTTTTGTAATTTAGTATTATAAATGTTGTGAACAACTTGGATGACAAGTAGAACAGGAACTTAAAAAGTAATTTCAAGTTATTTTGAGTGTATTCATTTTTGGCCATGTAATCAATGGTACATTTTTATCAGGTCAATTACGTTGTTGTTGGAAATGATTTGTGAAGAAATGGTACAAAAACACAACAGGATCAATGTATATTTGCATATAAAAGTTTGTGGTAGAAGTATTAGAAGTACTGCTTGTAGTGGAGCCACTTGCATGTTGTAAGCCAGTCATTTTTTAATGACACCTTGTGATTCCTTGCTCTCCCTACTTCAGGCTTATGATCAGCATTTAAATATGATACTGGGAGATGTGGAAGAAACTGTGACTACTATAGAAATTGATGAAGAGACATATGAAGAGATATACAAAGTAAGTCATGCAATTCTGTTTTATCACTGAAAATCAGTTCTCATAATCCAGTAGCTTAACACGCGTTTACAGAAAGCCTATGACTTTGTGGCACCCTTTCATGGACATGATAGAGTCCAGAGGCTACTGCCAAAGCTATTAAGAGCAAGGGCTTTGGGATCAGACAAACCTGGCTTCCAACACTGACTTGGCCACTTAATATCTAGACTCCCTTGGGTAAGAAATTAACTTTATAGACTTCTCAGTAATGAGCAGGGGGCTGCCGCTTATCTTGTAATGATCCTGTAGTATCTAATAGTCATACAGGATCATACTCTTTTATGTTATGTGGGTTTATTCGTCAGTAATTACTGTGAGAAACTAAAACATTTTTTAAATAGTCATTTAGAAATAGAAACCTATCATAGTTTTAACTATGTATTTTATGTATATCTATTTTTTTTTCCAGTACTGGAGATGGAACCCCTGGCCTCACATATGCTAGTCAGGCACTCTACCACTGAGCTACATCCTCGGGCCTTTTCATTTTTTGTTTTTAGTCAAAATGGCTTTGGCTAGTCTCGGACTTGTAGTCCTGCTGTCTCAGCCTTCTGAGTAGCTGAGATTACAGGCATGTGCCACAGAACCCACCTTAACTATATTTTCTAAAACAAAATATTTGGTAAATGGTGTGTTTTACATTTTTTCAAATCTCTGTATTGCTTTGCTTAATGGATAACTACATTTGCAAATCTTTTCTATACATAATCCACTATGATATGTTGTAATTGAAAACCTGACTATGCACAGCTAGGCAGTTGAGAAGAGAAGGATGTATTTTACAGATAGTGCTATTGATGCTGTACCCAATCTCAACAAGTAGCAGTTGTTGCAGTGTGGTGTCCAGCACCTCATCAGTGAGCTTTATGTGTTCTTGTCCCATGAACATGTATTGACCTGCTTTGTACTTCAAGTGGGTCTTGGGTAAGATATGACTTAAGCACTTATCATGTGGGAGTTAGTTCATTGGATTGTTCACATCTTCCAGATAGTGGCATTTCACTGGTCATTATTTTAATAGGTTTGTTAATATCACCAATGTTCTCACCAGAGAAGCCTTCACGTGTTAATGAGTCTCTTGCCTGCTGGGACCCCAGAGATTGTGAATATGGGCTTGGATCTCAGCACTGCCTGAGTTCAGATCTGGACTCTGCCATCGCCTGTACTGTTAGGCCAGGTTACCTTACCTGCCTGACTGAGTTTCCTTGTCTGTAAGATGGGGTCCACAGTAGTGTCCACTTCTATAGCTGTCAGTGACTCGAGACATTGTGACAGGGCGGGCATGGGTTCAGAGCAGGTTTCTGCTGGTTTCTCTAGCTCTTCATGCTGGTTGTCCTCCTTCTCCTCCCCAGACCACTCCTGACTCACCAGCATTCTTTCAAGTGTTAGAATTTGGCTTTTTTTCTTTCACCTACATTTTTATTTTCCATCAGAGATGTTACTAACTTATTTTTGTGGAGTTTTTCGCATTTCACATGTTTTTAAAGATGAATACTGTTATAATATTCCAACTCTAAAATACACTTTTTCTTTTTTCATACATTTTAGCATCTCTCAGATCTGGTTGCTTCTTATAGCTGAGATGATCTGAAAAAATAGTGTCAGTTTAATTGGCAACATTTTTCCTTTTATAGTTCAGGCAAAGCTTACAAATGATACTATAATATGAAATATGGAGCCCACAGTTTTACATCCTGTCATGTAATATGAGCATGAGAATTTCACAGTAGAAATATGCTTCATAAACATTTGGTTGCTCTCGTCCTTTTTCTGCTGTGACAGAGAGATTCCAGCTGCGCATGCCTGCTCTCAGGTCTGCCCTGGTGACTGCTGGCCCATCTCCCACCTCCACTCACCTGCTCAGCAGGGTCCCCCCCACCCCGAGACTGCTGGGAGGTGCTGGCTGTGTGTACACACAAGCATGTCCTGGGGGAGGCAGTCATAGTCCCAGGTTGTCCCTGAGCTCCATAAAGTTGCTCAGCTGCTGCCTCCTTCAGCCTCTGCACGCTGCAGCCTCGTGCCTGGGCCTTTCTTGCTTCCACAGTTGCAGTTGCAGAAGAGAAAGCAAGGTTTGTCTAACTAATGAGATATTTCCTACACTGTCATTTGTTGGGTAAAATGTTAAAAATGAAATCATTAAATGATAGGGAACACTTTCCTCATTTCTTCTGCAAAGGAACTGTCCTCTGTGGAACACATAGTACCACTGCCTTCTGACAGCCTTCCGTTCTTATGTGAGCAGCTTGCCTGACCAGATGTCAGATGCTCACGGTGAGTTGTTGTGTGTCACTTTAAACTCAGATGGAAAGAACAAACAACGCCCCGTCGGAAGCATTGCGAGCACAGTGCCTCATCCTCCTGTACATGCTTGCTCTGCCCTAGATGTGAAACCAGACTAAAGGGCCTTTCTCTTACTCGGTTACATTTTGTTTTCTTTCTTTCCCTGCTGGAGTAATTAATGAACATGAACGTTACCAAATCAGGAGGGGACTCAGGGGCCAAAGGTATTTTGTGGGTTTTACTATTGCTTACATAACTAACTTACATAACCATGATTTAGTTGCCTACTGATTTGCTAATGGTCGGGCAGGCAGTTGTACTCTTGGCTTTCTCTCCACACCTGGAGTTGTTTTGTAATCTGCTAAAAGTTGAATTATTTGGCCCCAGCAAACTTTTTCAGCCATCCATCATGTTTACCACCCTCCTTCCTCAAGCACCTCAGAGTCTGGCTCACCCCACAATGTTTCTTGGGCACCTTTTGTACCTGACCCTCAACCCGTGCTTGACCTCTGCCTGAAGAAGGCCCAGACACATCTGCAGGTGTCTCTTTTCTCTAGGTCCACCCTCAAATTAGTGTTGACGTTGTTTTGCCTCAGGAAGTCTGGGTGGAAAGATACTGCCCACTCTAACCTGCCTCAGGGCTGAGCTTCTATAACAAGTTCTACTGGGCTGTGGTCATCAGTGTTTTTTTAAAAACTTAATCTTCTGTTGCTTCGGTTTCAAAAGCAACTGACTTTTCTAACCCTGCGAATCCTAGTTCTTTTCATCTCTACTTAGAAACCAGCCCTCCAGGGCCAAGGATGTAGCTTGGTGCTACACTTGTCTGGCAAGCATAAGATTCTGAGTTCGATCCCTGGTACCAAAACAAAACACGAAAACACCAGCCCTCCACTTGTTGCTTGAGCTTCCCTTTCCCGGATTTCCCTGATGAGTGCATCAGGTTAACAGCAGCACCTATTAACAGTTCACTTTTTCCAGCATCTTCAGAGCCTTAGAGGTTCCAGAGTCTTAGGGCTATCTTCTAAGTTCTGCCTGATGTTTGGCCAAGGCACAGTGAGGATTTCACGTGTTTCCTGACTGCTGGCTTCCCACGTGTGCCTGCAGTGTGTCACAGAGCTGATTTCCTGCTCATGTGAGGTCTCGAGTGGCCTCTTTCAGGTGGCTCTGGCATCTTTATGCTGTCCCCCAAGTTCTGAGTGTTGCTTGCTTTCAGCCAGTGAAAGAGGATAGACCACAAATGAGCATTGCTGGGAGGTTTATGTCACTCAGCGCGCAGTCCTGTTGGCTTCCTATTGGTTAAGACACAGTCCTATGGCTGATCAGGTGCAAGGGAGCGTGAGAAAGCAGCCTAGTGGAGAGGCGCTGGGGTGGGTAGGGCTGATTTCCCACTGCAATTGTTAGTATCCAAGAAAAGGAAAAGTAAATGGATGTATTCCATGTGTGACAAAATAAATGATCAGGGTTTTAATTGACTTTTGTATTAAGATGATTTTTTTTTTAATTTCACAAAAGATTAATAGTTACTATCTTTGTATAAATGTGTTGGGTTTTTTTTCCCCCCCTTTCTTTTCCAGTCAACGAAAAGGAATATCCCAATGCTCTTTGTCCGGGGAGACGGTGTTGTGCTAGTTGCCCCTCCACTAAGAGTTGGCTGAAATGGAGAATTTGTCCTGCGTGGAAACAGTTGCCTCTTTAACTGCATAAGACGTTCAGAGGACAGGGCCGTACACACACTGATACTGAGAAATAGCCAGAAGATTTGTTCACCCCCAAAAAGAGAATACCTTACAACATTTTGAGCTAAGTAGCATTTTTGTTTTTTTTTATCCTTCCACTAAACATGTTCACCAAGGTGCTGAACTCTTTTTCCAGGAGTTGATTTGCGCCATCATTCTTGCAGTTTCTGGTGGTTTTTTTCTTTAATTAAACTCATTGTTTCCCTTTTAATTTAACACAGTCTTATGAGTTCTTAAAGCATGTGTGTGACATTTCTGTGTACGGGTTCACCGTCAGGCATCAAGTCCTACATTGTGTAGTGTTTGTCAGTGTGCTATCTCCTGCCAGTCACAGGCTAGGAGCTCAGTGCTGATGGAATAGAACCCTATATAGAGCATCATGCCCAAGTGAGGGGGTCATGCTCAAGTAAGAGTAAGGCTAAGGCCAGGCAGCTTGTCATCTTAAATGTCACCATTTTCACAGAACACATGGCACAGTTCTGCTGCCAGTGCTGCACTTAGCTGTATGACTCAAGAAACCATTTCTTCCCTTGGATCCCAGGTCATCAGTGATGGGGGGCCTAAGACAGCAAGCATTTCTCAGTGCACATTGAAGCCGGAAGTGGCTAAAAGCAGAGATGCTGTGACAGAATTCTAGCATCAGGCAGAATGCCATGCTTAAGAAGTAAAAGAGAAAGTTGATATGGGTTAGCAGTCTCTTCACATTTGTCTCCCTCACGTCAGTGTTTAGAGCCATTGTGAAACACAGGAAATACAGTTTGTGGATGACTTGTCTGTACATGTACTGGCTGTTTGCTAAACATTACCTAGCCCAGAGGGCTCACGTGGGCATGGTGTTCCAAGCCATGTGCTGCGAGAAGGATGCTTTCAGCATATGTCATGTAAAAGGGTTTGTTTTCCTTGCTTACTGTACCTGTCCCTGCAAGTTAATGGAGAAGAGAGTGGGTGAGCTAATGGCAGTTTTATCTTGTACAGGAAGACGGAGACTTTGCCTTCACCTTCGCCACCCTGCACTTCATTCTTAGGTTAGTAACCTGTTTGCTGTGGAGCAGGCAGCAGTCACAGTTCTGGCAGTGGATGGTGTCTGTTCCCCAGCATCAAGTGCTCTGAAGATGTCAGTGCACAGTGGTTGCCTCAGGTGATGGCATGTTGTATATCTGTGAAAATGTAATCCTTGCAGCTGTACTACACAGTGGTCTGGGATCAAAGCTCAAAGAGTTATGCCCTGTGGCATCCTGGGGCAGGAGGGTGTGACCCCTGTCCCTGCCTGTGAGCATGTGCAGGCACACTGCAGAGCCCAGCTACGTGAATCACGCCAATGTCCACAGCCCAGGCATGACCACCACAGGCTTCAGTCTGGCTCACTAAAGCTCCCTCTTGCAGTGGGCATGCATGCACACATGAATGTACGAGAATTTGCCATCTGACTATTAAGACAAGAGCAGGGACAGTATAAAACCAGCTACATGTTGGGTTGCGGGTGATGCAGTATAAGCTGTGAAGGCCACCACAGGGCCCCACCACAAGCCCAATGTTGAGGTCATTTCTCAGGGTGCTGACCAAGGCCTCTGGGAGCCACACCTTGGACCTTGGACTTTGGACCTTGGAGGCTGCTCAGCACTCAGTTCTGGCCTCCTGCTGGGTGGCTCTTGGTCACTGGAGCATGATGTCACACACCCCTAGGGAGCCTTCTGATGGTCTTTCCCTTTGGAAGCCTCACCAGCTCAGGGCAACCCAGACTGTCTTGGGCTTCTGAGGTGTCTTCACCTCCCACAGAGGAATGTGGATAGAACAGAGATGAGTGTGTCCCAACTGAAACCCAAGTAGCTTGGCTGTCTGGACAAACCTAAGATCATTAGCTACATTCACACAGTTTCACACTTCAGATAGTTTTGAAGACCTGTTCAAACTAGATAGAGGTATTATCCCCCTCCCATGAGGAGGCGGCATCTGGCTTCTGCCCTTTCATTTGTTGCTAGAGACAATGCTCAGCTGCTGTGCGAAGCGAGGTTAGCAAATTGCCAGCTGAGTGAGACTCGCTTGTGTTGAGGGTAGAAGATAACTTCTTCTACCTCCAGGAGTCGTCCTGGTAAGACGTTTCTGCCAGGTACCCCTGCTGAGCTCAGTGGACTTGGTATGTTCTAGAACGAGTCCAGATGTCCCAAAGACCCATACAAGGCTCTGTTCTGCCCAGCCAGCTTCTGTGCCATCTATGGGCTTTCATTCTGGCCACAAGGACAGGGCTGTTACTGGCCAGGCCTGCATCTGTGCCCACCCTGGGAATGAAGAGCTGGGCCATTCCTCTGCTGGTGGAGAGGCCTGATTCTCATAGGACACCAAGGGAAGGGGTAAACTCTTGGTCTGCTCTAATTTATAGAAAAGTAAATCCCTTTGGTACTTTATTAGTAACAAATTTCTTGGAACACACTTCCATCAGTGTGATTTTAACCTGGTCGCAGGCTGGCACATCCCAGGAGCATCGATGGAACAGACCACTGGACTCCCCGAGGTATCCTGGGGTCCGCAAGAGTTCCTGGGTCAAGGAGATGGCAAGCACCGAGCCCCACACAACGCGCCACTCTGTAGCAGCCACTGGGCAGGACAGTCCTTGATCAGTGCTGAGCGAGTGACCAGGGACAGCAGCAGCACTTTGTGTCCAACGCATGGGCAGAAGGGGCAGGTGGCACTTTCCAAGAAGGTGAACTGTGCACCCGCAGCTGGAGGCTGCCCTTCACCTCTGCACCCGCTGCCATTGGCCCCTTCGTCACGGGCCTGGGGCTGTCTGGAGACACCCGCTGTGGGCACCCAACTGATTATCAGCTTACATGGAAAACAAGCACCAGGAAATGAGGACGACGGTGAGGCCAAACATTTTAAATTCCAGATCCATTGCTCAACTTTAATGAACCAGAGCATGTAGAAGCCTATTTTTTTGGCTGCTGCAGGAGTTTTATGGGTGTGCACTTTTGGGTACTGATTGCCATAGAGGCATTTCCTCCCACTTCTTCCCCTGCCCACCACGCAGCAGGGATCTGACCCTGAGTGGGTCAGGAACCTGGTTGCAGCATCTTGCCCCATGACATCTTGCCTGTTGCACTTGTCCCAGTTTCCTCGGGTCATTTTCAAGAGAGTCATGACTTTGAAGTTGACTTGTTCGTCGCAAACTCATTTTCAAGTGTCTGCTGTGTACAGACAGCCCTCTCATGGGGGTGGGCTGAGAAGTGGGGAGGTGCTGGGGGAAAGCATGCTGCTTCCCACAGCAATGCCTTCGGCTGGCAGAGGGGCACTCACGGGATTGGGCAGATGGGTGAGGGCAGTCTTGCTGGATCAGAGGTCAGCAAGGAAGCCCACAGGCTGCAGAAGTGGGGCTCAGGGAAGATATGGGAGATGAGAGGACAGAGGAGATGAGAAGCCCACGAGAGTGACAGAGACCAAGGCCACACTGCTCCGGCTCTCTGAGGTCGGTCAGTCTGGGCGGCTGTCCACAGCACCGTCCCTGAAGTCCCTTGGCGGTGGGTACACACACACATGAATGTACGAGAATTTGCCATCTGGCTATTGAGACAGGAGCAGGGACAGCATAAAAACAGCTACATGTTGGGTTGGGGGTGAAGCAGTATAAGCTGTGGAGGCCACCGCAGGGCCCCACCACAAGCCCAATGTCGAGGTCATTTCTGCAGGGTGCTGACCAAGGCCTCTGGGAGCCACACCTTGGTCAGGCACTGCGACACCCCATTCTGTAGCTCCCTCTGATCACACCTCCACCTCACCATCTTCCCCTCAGTGAAGGAAGGCATCTTCCCTTTCAGTCAACAACTGCCATTTGGGCCAAATTAGCCCATGTTAGTATGGGCAAATGACAGCTTCCTTGCCTCTCCTGGGCCCATGGAAAGAGGGCTGGGGTCAGATCTGCAGGCACCTCCTGTGTCCATGTGTGCATCTCTGAGAGCCTGGCCTCTCTGGTCTCACCTGTCTGTCTTGGGAGGAAATGCAGAGAGTTGAGTTCACACCTAAAAGGGTGTCAGTAATCCAGCTAGGAGTGCATTTCAATAACTTAAGCATATTCGTTTTTAATTTATACATCTTTAACTGGTATATAAAAGCTGTACGTACTAATGGATAATGTGATGTTTTAGTAACGTATGCATTGTGTAATGTTTAAACCAAGTTAAACATGGCTATCTAAGTGGTAATAGAAAAAAACCCTGAAAATCCTTTATCCTAGCTTTTTGAAGTGCAGTATATTAGTGACCCCTCATTATCCTACAATGCCACACACACCAGAGTTTTAGCTCCTCTTAACCAAATTCCCAGGATCAAGCAAGGGACACCAGGAGGCGCTGTGCTCTTTGCTTTCCAACCTCACCTTGGTTTGTAGTCAACTTGTGACTGGGCCTGAGCTTTGTGCCACTTCCCTAAATCCAGTGTGTGCAGCTCCAACCCTGTGCTGTTTCCTGTAGAGGAGGAGAGAAAACAGCCCCATCCGGAGGCCCAGGGAGGAAGCTGTGAGGTGAAGAAGTGCCTGCCCCTCCCCATGCCCCATCCCAAGATGCTGAGCTGAGAGGTAATTGCTCACTGGAGTGTGTCCTGATGTGCACATGGAGCTGTCATCGGAGTTCAAGGTCCTATCACCAACTCCACCGAGCAGATCCTTATTCCTGCTCTTTGCCTCAGTGTCCACACAGCAGTGTCCTTTCAGCTCGAGCAGCACATCTTGAGGAAGGCCTAGGATCACTGTCGCTGATCGGAAGCCCTGCATCACAGTTCCTGAGAAACTTGGGCGCATTGTCTAACAGCCAACCTTTGTGTTTGCTAGGTAAGAATACAGATTACGTTCAAAGCTATGCACTGCTACTACCAGTACTAGCTGGATACCAGACTTGGCCTGTTTATTCCCCAATTTCCTCTTCCTTAAAATGGGGCAGTGGCAGTGCCAACCTCAGAAAGAGAGCCTAGGATTATATGACATCCACAAACACTCCAGCTCAGACCTGGCACAGGGTAGGCACTCTGCTGTGTCTACTCCCCTCACCATGCAGGTGGCCCTGTAATGTGCTTCCTGTCCCCTCCCACTGGCCTGTAGGCCTCTGTCGATTTTCCCCAGAATGGAGGGACCACCATAAATAGCTGTCTGTCCTTATACCCAGGGTCAGGCTGGTCATCATGAGTTCACAGCTTCTGCCTTGCTGTGTCTTGTACCATTCTCCTGGGTGTCATCTTTGCTGTTTTTCCTATGTCCCTATTTCAGGCCGAGAACAGCTGGGGACTGGGATGGACCACAGTGAGTCATGGTGGTGTTTGGAAATGTGAGGGAAAGGGACTTCTCCTTTTAGACCCCTCTGCTCTCACTGCCCTGGTTCTTAGTAATCTTCCCAGCTGGGCTTCAAGTGCAGAAGTGAGTGGAACCAGCTCGATGAGCAAGGTCACCGGACAGTGTCACGAGACAGTGACATCACTGTCAGCTTCTGCCCAGGAAAAACAAAAAAAAACAAAAAACCCAGGGCTCCAGTGAGCAAGGTGAAGGTCAGGTTATCTTCATGGCAGGTGACAGTGGTAGCAGCCTCAGGAGAGCAGCCCAGAGGCCCGGGACTGCAGCTGCCCCTGCTCATATGTGCACAGCAGCTCACTGCCCTCATGTGCTCAGAAGAGCAGAACATAACCACTGGGATTTTTCACTTTCCTAGAAGAAAGACCAGCAGCTGCCAGATTCAAAATAGAACGTGAATCATGTCGCAGGAACCCTGATTGACCCGAGCACACTCATTGTGCAATGCCCTTTGAGGACGGAGAGATAAGCGGATCCTCCCGGTGATGGTCACTGTCTTGGAACCGCAGCACAGCAGGTCCAGCCTCTCCCCAGCTCCCTGTGTTTCTGTAGTGCCACACGTCCAGAGGGACCAGATCCTTCAGGGGAAGCGAATGCAGAGCCTCCCAGAAGAGCCACTTTTTTACAGCGAATCACTGTCTCTGCTGTGTCCATCTCCCAGCCTGCTGGTTTCATGCAGTGATGTTTAACTGTGTTTTGTTTTGTTTTGTTTTGTTCTTCTTCTTCTTCATACCTGGCCTAAATTCTTAATGGCATGACACAGTTTTCCACAGTGAAGCACAAAAATTAGCACACTGAAGGATTCAGTGCTTGACAGGTTTATAGTTCGTGCATATGAGGAATAGTATCTTCTGCTCCAAAGCTTTAATTCTGTCTTGGTGTAAGTGACTTTTTTTTCCCTGTGGTGCTGGGATGGAGCCCAGGGTATAACGCATGCTGGGCACACACTCACCTGTGAGCCACACCCCAGCCTGATGTGACCCATCTTTGCAGGTCCAGTCCTCCCCTTGGACATCGAGAATTGTTCAGGACATGGGTGATGTGCAAAATCTGGCCACCTTACGTTCTACTTCTTTATACCATCAGCATAGTCTTGCACTTACACAAAATAGGTTTTCAAGAAATACTTGTGAATTTTTTTATTTTTAATTTTTATTGTAGTAAATGTCTCATAACAAAATTTTTGTTGAAGTTGAGCAGTGTTAGATAAATCCACAGTGCTGTGCAATCCAGTAAGTTGTCTTAAGGCAGAGCACAACTAACATCTCAATGGGTCTCGAGCAGTGTCTCCTCCCTTCAGCTTTGAAAAGTAGCTCTGAGCAAAATCCATAGGCAATAAACTATAAGGACCACTTAGGAAAAGCCATGAGGCTGCTTCATCTTTTCTTTTCCTGGTCAGTTAGGAGGGAGCTGGGCCGGTGGCTGGGCAGGGCCAGTGGAGATACTCAGGGCGCATCTGAGGACCTGACAACACCCCTCGCCTCCACACTGCCCCCTTGTTGATCCTCAAAAATGTCAAGCTTGTAAGGTCCTTTCCAGCAGTTCCTACCTCTTCCTCAAAGGATCTTCTTACATTACGCATCACACTGAGCAACAGAACAGCTTGTGGAGCTCAACTGGAGGCCACAGCCAGGCCAATGCCCATTAAATCACAGTCTCTGGACTTTTTTTTTGGTACTGGAAATCGAACTCGGAACCTTATGCTGCGAGGCAGGTGATGGAACCGCAGAGCTAAGACCCCTGCCCAAGTCTCTGGGCTCTTAATGATGAGTATTTTAAAAAAGAAAATCCCTCCCCTGGCTTTCCACTGTGCTGTCCTTCTGAGAGGAGCATTTCTGGAATGCAGATTCTAGTCCTGTTTCCTGGGAGAGCAGCAGGAGCCACCCCACACCCAGGCCATGCACCCTAAATATCCTCACCACCCAAAGAGCTGGGCTCACTGGAGAAAAGGCTGCTTCAAGGTGGAGGCAGGGAAAGCTTCAGAAGAGCTGGAAACATTGTACCAGGAAGCAAGAAAGTGCATCCGGAATGATGGACACACATGAGGCATAGGGGCCAATTTCAGGGAGCAGCCTGCTGGGAGGTGAATCTGATGCTAATGGAGTCTGCTGCATGAGCTACAAATCCCGGGTTCCTTGTTACATAAAGAAACTAATGACTGGTTTATATTTTTAAATAGTTTAAAAGACCTACTTATTGAACCCTGCTAAGGTATATACTTATTCCCATCAAGTACTGCCGTGTAAAGTTGAATTCCAAACTTCATTTCCTGTTACTTCTAGCTTTTTTCCTTTTTGAGATTTTTCTACTTTTGCATCTAAAAGAAGCAAGCTTTCATCAGCTTGCTTGCTTGCTTTGCTTTTTGTTTTTTTCATTAAGTTTATTGGTACGTTTAAAGCAAACAATACAGTTACATTTATCGTTGGGATTTTGTGCCTTTACATGATATATCTTGGTTCTTGTTTTTTCCCCATACCCCTACTTCCCTTCATGCTTTTTGTTTTTTTTGAGGATCTCATTCTGTAGCCTAGGGTGGCTCAAACTCACATCAACTCTTCTGCCTCGGCCTCCCAAGTGGTGTGATTATAGGCATATCCACCATGCCCAGCTAGATTTTTTTTTTTTTACTTTATTTTTAGTACATGTTTGCACTACAGAATAATTACACTCATTTCAAGGACTTGGTACATGTACATAGCTTGTCTTTATTTTTTTTGCATCTCCTTCCCCTCCTCTGTCCCAGAAACAAATGATAATATAAATAAATGTGGGAGAAGGGTAAGCTCTTCCTGCCAATTGCTGTAGTTTGGGTTTGAAGTGTCCTTTAAACGCCCATGTGTTTTGTTTTGTTTGTTTTATGAGACAGGCTCTTGCTATATCATTCAGGCTGGCCTGGAACTCATCGTGTAGCCCAGGTTGGCCTCAAACTCATGGAGATCCTCCTGCCTCAGCCTCCCAATTTCAGGTGTGTGCCAATGTGCCTTGCTAGGCCTTCGTGTTAAAGGCTTCATTATCAGCCATGGTACTGTTGGTGGAGGGGGTGGAAACTTTCAGAGATGAGGCCTATAGAGGTAGGTCATTGGGGGTGTGGCCTTGAAAGGGATACAGGAACCCTGCACCTTCCAACTTCTCTTTGCTTCCGGGATGCCAGATCGTGAATAGCTCCACCAACTTCACCACAGGCCCCAAGCAGCAGGGCCAGGCTACCATGTGTGGAAACCTCTGGAGCCCTGAGCTTCCTGATAAATTGGTTGTTTGAGGTATTTTGGCACAGCAATAGAAAGGAGGCTAATATGCCAACTAATAAGTAAAAACAAAGAGAAAGTCACCCGTGAATGCTAAAACCACACTGTAAAATGACTCCCCATAAATGACTGATGAATTATAGTTGGAAAATAGAGGCTTCATAGTTGAGAAGACCCAAGTCACACAGAGTTCCCACGACCTATCCTGGACCACATGTCAGTGCCCTAGCAAGGGCACTGAGAAGAGGACCTCTGGGGTCCTCCTGCACAGAAAGACATCCCCTGAGTCAAGTCCTTGGCGACATTAGGAAACCCAGATAGAGGCGCAGTCCACAAAGTAATCAGTCTGCATGCTTTAAAGCATGTCAGGGTCAGAAAGAGAGAACAGCTAGGAGCCATTCCAAATTCAAGCAGACCAAGGAGAAGGGACAGATAATGTAACACGTGTCTTACTTTTTCATTGCTGGAACACAAGTCAGAGGAGGAAAGGTTTATTTTCACTCATAGTTTGTAGAGGTTTCAGTCCAAAATTGGCTGGCTCCAAGGCAAGGTGGCTTGGCAGAGAAACATTCTATAGCAGTGGAGACAGAAGGCAGTGAAACAAGCCTGCCTTCCTTCTTTTCCCTCGTGTTCCATTCAGGCCACAAGGCTATTGGATGGTGCCGCCCACAGCCAGAGTGGGCTTTCCCAGAACTATGCTAAACCAATGGTGGACTAATGAGCGCACACCCTTAATCCATATTCACACATCCATGCTCCAGCCACCTCCTGAAAGCCCTACCTACGAGCGCAAGAGGTTTGGGGGAACATCTAGATACAAGCCATAGCAACACGTGACCCTGGGCTGGAAAATGTGCTTAACGGAAAAAGATTATTGTGAGAGCAATGGAGAAAATGTAAGCACGGTCTGCAGATGAGCCGTTCTGTAAGCATGTTCGTGGGGTCCACACAATGTAGGAGTCAAAGGGCAGCGTGTGTGCATTACATCCACTGGGGTGTCTGAGGTAGGGGTGTGTTTGTGTGTATTTAATGTGTTTATTGTATATTTACACGGAGAGACAGGGCAGAGAAAGGGGCAAGACATACGCAGTTAGAGTCTAGGACACGGGTCCCTGGGCAATTCTGGGGACTTTTCTGTAAGTTCAAAATAACACCGAGACAAAAGTCGTCCCCCGCTTCTTGCAAGAAAAGATTCATGAGACCCAACTCCAAAATTAGTAAGTTTAGTAAGGCTCTGTCTCTTCAGCTGCACAGGTCTCTGCTCCTGTGTCACCTCCACAGAGACCCTCCCAGTCACCCCCACTCCTGGCCTGCCTATTTTCTTATTCTCATAGCTCTTTGTGTACAAAACTATTCCTGTGGACATGTTTGTCTCCTGCCTGAATGTCAGTGTTGTTAACACGGAGACCCTGCCTCATTCTGTCCCCGGGACAGTGCCTCACCAACAGCAGGCACCACCTCTGTTCATGGGGAATGAAAGAGTGAAGAGACAGCCAGTCTACGTACACCATGGTCAGTTTCCTCATCTGCAGACCGAGGGGCTCTCAGTGGGGCATCCAGGGGCCTTCCTGGTTTAGTGCCAAAGCCAGAGGCTGGCAAGGTAAGGCTGTGCCGGTGGTGATGAATATATCTCAAGGGTCTGTGTGTTTTGTTGTGGTGCTGGGGAGGGAACCCAGGGCTTCCCACCTACTAGGCAAATGCCACTGAGCCAGACCCCCAGCCTGGTTTTAAAATTTATTTTAAGACAGTCTCACTAAGTTGCCTAAGCTGGGCTCCAACTTGCAACCCTCCTGCTTCAGCCTGGTGAATAACTGGCATTGCAGATGTGTATGCTGAGTGCAATTCCTGTTTTCCCCCCTCCCAGTTTCTCACTTAATCCTCACACAATCCTGCAACACTGCCAATAGCATCCTTCTTCAGTTCATGCCCCTAGCAGATGTGTGCTGAGTACCTGCTGTTTGCTAGGCACTGAAGAAACACTGCTCTACTCTCAAGCTTGTCAGCTGAGCCAGAAAGTTTGCACGGCTTGCTGAAGTCACACAGCATGCACACGGCCAGCTCTCTCCGCCCCTGGGGACAGGGCCACAGGGAAGAGAGCCCCTGTGAGTTGGTTCCCCACCCCCCACCCCCGGTGGCTCCCTTGGAGCCTGTGCGCTCATCTTTGCCTCGGACCTCAGCGCTAACCCTCACAAAACACTCAGCAGAGGCATGAATGCTACAGCTCAGCTGTTCCTGGTTGTGTTTTTTATTATTCCAGCCTCTTGGTCCCACTTACAAGCAAGAGGCTGTTCAGCTTCACTGGGCAAAGGTCAAGTTCAATTCAATGGGAGAAGTAATCTAAGCGGGAGATCCAATCAGATACTGCTGCCAGAAAAATGAAAACGCAAAATAACAAAGTAAAAACACACTTCAAAAATGTCTCACAAAGAGACTGAGCATGGGGAATCAAAACAATGGATGGGAGCGGGGAAATTTCTTCAAAGATGTTTTATTTCTCTTCAGCTCATGGATCCTTGTCCTACTTGAAAGCCTTCTCTGCCAGTTAATCACTGGACCTATTACCAAGCGCCTGCTTCCCTGTTTACAGTCTCACCCTCCAGAAGCCACTGCAAGGGCCACAGCGATTGCCCCAGTTAGCAAGACAAATGTTTGTCTTGGAGAGCAATAGCCAGCTGTGCTGGGAGGTCCTGGATTCCTGGGATGTAGCACATACCTTCCCTGGATCTGCGGGGTGACTTTCCCTGTTCTCTGTTACCACAGGCTCGTGTCCCAAGATTACTCTGAGTTCCCCGCATTCCCTTTTGGAAAGGAAGAGGGTATTTGGCCAAGGGTAAGATTTATCTGTGCCCAAAAATGCTCCTGCCCCTTCTGGAAGCCAGTTGTGTTGAGTATTGAAAGTGTGTCCCTGTGGGCATTGCAAGCGGAAGATCCTCATAGGAAAGTGCAGTGGGTGGGTGAATAGAAGAGACATCTTAACAAAGTTTCGTTATTCTAGAGAAAAAATGCTGTATCTCCGTTTTTATGGTGCGAAGTTTAGAGTTGGGGAGGGAGTGGACAAGAATACAGTATTATTCTTTGAAACTATCATTCACAGACAGTTTACCCCAGAAGCTTTTCTGTGGCTGTTGGGTCATGATTTTGTCCAGGTGAGCCTGGCAGCCACGTGGGTAATGAAAAGCCCTGCTTTCTGCGGAGTGAGTGCCCCACCTTGGAGCTAAGAAGATGCTGGACAGAGAGGCAGAGTGTGGGGCGAAAAAAGTGCAAGACTTAAGTCTCACTTTTACTCCTGGAGCGTGAACAGCCAAGAGGCTTCCACGATGCTGGGCTCAGAAGCTCAGCAAGGCTCCAGGAGCTTGTTGGACAGCGAGAGTCACCCAGGAAGGAACACACCAGGCAAGTTGGCAAATAGACCTTTATTAGTCTGGCCAGACGGCACTCCCCAAGCCAAGTAGCTCAGAGAGGTGGCTAGCTCAGAAACAGAGGCCATTTTATATAGGGCTAAGGGGGGTGGTTTACACTTAAAACTTACAGGAAGAGGACAAAGGCAAAGAATCAGTTGATCTGAGCTAGTGGTCATCAAGCATATACTTGACTGTCACGTACTAATGATCAGCAGAGCGATTATCCATTATTCCATTTACAACTTAGATTATAATGTTCAGAACATTCAACTACAGGCAAGTAAAGAGTGGCGTGATTTGTGTTGGGTCTCTGTGTTCACTACAGTTTCCATTTAGTTTCCCAGCTACTTCAAAACAGTTACCTAACAATTCACAATAAATCATTAGTTATCCTATAAGGGATGGCGGGGAGCGACAGTCTCTAGGTCGTTTGCTGGTCAACATGGAGTCGCTCTGGTTCAGTCAGGCTCTTACATTCCCCACTGATTTTTGGACCTAAATCAAATCTTTGATTTACTTATATCTGACTCTGGGCCTTACTAAAGGAACACATTGTAAAAGACAACAAGTTATTGCAATACAAAATCCTAATGCCATCACACAGAGTATCAATTGTTTTACCCAGGTAATGTCAGGTAACCAACTTGTTAACCATTTAAATAAATCCCATCCTATCTGTTCATCATGAATCTTTGTAGCTAAATCTTTGA